CAAAAGGAGGTAGAAAAGCAACAAGACGATGTTGCTGAGCTGTGGCTTTAGACCTGATAGTCATATGATGGTTATTGAGAGGAGGAGGGGGAGGGAGATGGAGATTAATATACAGGGAATCAATAGTAATAGCAGGTGAAGCTGCAGGAGCAGACTGAACTAAAGGGTCAACTGTGGCTGCAGGGGCAGCTGGAACAGGGGAGACAGCAGCTGTAGCTGCAGAGGCAACAGGGGGGGGTGCAGATGTAGCTGCTGGGACTGCAGGAATTGCAGTAGCATTGGGGACTGAAAAAGCAGATACACACGCATTGGGGGGAGAAGAAGAGCAAGTAGCTGAGCTAGATGGTGGTGTAAATGAAGACCAAAAGAAAGGCTGCAATTGAGATAAAGAAGGTGAAGATGATGAGGGGGACGGGACATGAGCAAAGGGAAAATATTGCTCATCAAAGACAACATGTCTAGACAAAAAACTTTTCCTGAGGTTGGATCAAGGCATCTATACCCTTTCACAGATGGGTGATAACCTATAAAGACACAAGGAGTGGACCTAGGTTGTAATTTGTGAGATGAGTAAGGTCTGAGCCATGGGTAACATCTACACCCAAAAGTTCTTAAGAAAAAGTAGTTGGGAGTGTGACAAAACAAGGCTTCAAAAGGAGTTGAAAAAACTAGTTTAGCAGCAGGTAAACTATTAACAAGAAGAACGGTTTCAAACCAATATTGCAAAGGAAGAGAAGAATGATGCATTAAAACAATAGTAGTCTCAATCAGATGCCTATGTTTTCTCTCTGCTACACCATTTTGGGCTGGAGTGCAAGGACACGTCAGTTGATGTAAAATGCATTAGACTTGAGAAATGATTGAAACTGAGAGGAGAGATAATCACTACCATAATCACTTCTAAGTATTTGCAATTGAGTATGCAATTGAATTTCCACAAAAGCCTTAAACTCAAGAAATTTAGACAACACTTCACTCTTATAGAGTAGAGGAAACAACCACGTGAATTTGGTAAAATCATCAACAAAAAGAACATAGTAATTATCACCAGATACAAAAGAAGAAAAGGGGCCCCAAACATCTTTGTGAATCAGTGCTAGGGGTTTATTGACTGAAGAATTAGACAAACTAAAAGCCAATCTGTGACTCTTAGAGACACAATAATGAGTGCAAAAACTCATATTAGCACTAGGAGAAAGAAAAAAAGTCTTGGAGATGTGATGAAACTTCTTGGGGGAAGGATGGCCTAGTCTGAAATGCCAGTTTGGTGAAGAAGGCTTGTGATTGAAGTTGCTGTGGAAACAACTTTGAGCACCAAGATGAGTAAGATGAAGACACAGGGAAATGGTAAAGGCCATTAGAATGATGACCCTTAACCAGCACCCTCTTGGTAGTTTTGTCGTGGATGACAAAAGAATTAGTGTCAAATGTAATGGAACACTTATTATCAGAAGCTAATTGATGGACGGAAAGTAAATTTGAAGTAATAGAAGGGACATGAAGCACACTGTTTAGTTGGAGAGGAGAGCTAGATGGGTTGGAAGGAGGCCACTGCCAGTGTGAGCAATGGGCAGCTGGTTATCATCTCCAAAGGTAACTTGTTATCACCTAGATAAGGATGATAGAGGGAAAGGTTGTTCGTATCATTAGTGAGATGGCTAGTAGCATCAGAATCAAGAAACCAATTCCGTTGCTGTGGAGTAGGAATGGCAATGGGGGGCAATGGGGTGGATATTAATTCCCCATCCCCATTCCCCTATAATAAATTAGAGGAAGATTGAAAAGAAGAGTCCATTTTGTACCAACATTCCAATGCTGAATGATTTGGCTTCCCACAAATTTGGCAGACAACTGAAATAGAGGAGGATGGGAAAGAAGGGGTAGAGTTGAAATTTTAGTTGTTGTTGTATGATCTACCACCTCTACGATTACCTTTGAAAAACCTACCAGCACCTCTGTGATAAAAGGAATTACCTCCCCAAAAAGAACCTCTGAAACCTCCTCTATCAGACTTGTCGGAAGAAGGATTGAGACTGAGAATTTCCTTTTGCACCAACATAAGCAAAGGGTAAATCAGTAGCATGAGATTGTTTTGCTACAGTTTCAACATGAACAGACTCAGAGCGAAGGAGAGAACACAGTGAATCCACAGAAATAGGTTCGGATCTGGCTCTTATGGTGGTTTTGAGAGCATTGTACTCATCTGGTAAGCCGTTCAAAATCAACAATTTCAGGTCTTCATCATCAATAGGTAAAGAAACCAGACTCAATTGATCTGAGATGATCTTAATTTGACCTAGGTACTACTCCATAGTAAGCCCTTTCTTGGCCACATGATTAATTTTGTCTCCAATTGATGGATGTGAGAGTGAGACAAAGAGGTAAACCTTTTCTCAAGAACAATCCAAACCTCATGCCTCGATTCGCAATGAAGAACAATCATAAAAATTGGGGAACACACTGTTGCAGTGATACAACTTGGGAGATGTGGGTCAATCTTGCTCCATTGTGTGAATTCAGGATTCAATACTTCTTTGTTTGATGAATCAAGAACAGTCGGACTAGGGCTTACCTTATATCCATCGATGTAACAGAGAAGCTTGCTAGCATGCAAGATATTCTGTAGTTGATTCTTCCAGATGATGAAATTCGTATAATCGAGCTTTAATGTGACAAACGAACTCAGGTTCGAGATAAGCAAGGTAAGATTTGATGGAAGGAGAGGAGGAGAGAAGAAGACGAAGGAGAATCTGCCATTAGAGAACCACCTTCAAGAAGATCTTCGTGCTCGTTAGAGCTTTCTAAGCTCTGATACCATAAAGCAAATCAGAGTAAAATCAATATATTTCTCATTACCTAATCACGAGATCAATACAGCTCTATATAACAGGCTTAGTTCAACTAACTAACCTGAGTTCTAACTAATCAACTAGGCTTAACACTAGTTAAAACTGATTTCAGTTACATAATCTCTCACAGTCAGAGGATCATTAGAGCCTTTAACCTTTTTTTTTCTTCTTTTTTTTTTTTGATAAATAACCAAACTTTATTAAAAAGCATCAAGACGATGCATGAACCTGAGTATGTAAAATGGATTACATGTTGCTTATATGGCTTATCAATAACCACCTTACAGGCATAGAACTCTAAGGAGAGTCCCGTACATCTATGACATTACACATTATATACTAGCAACCACTGCATGCTCTACTCGTGTAATACATCTTCAATTACTGCCACAGGCATAGAACTCTAAGGAGAGTCCCGTACATCTATGATATTACACATTATATACTAGCAACCACTGCACGCTCTACTCGTGTAATATGTGTTCAATTACTACCACAGGCATAGAACTCTAAGGAGAGTCTCACACATCTATGATATTACACATTATATACTAGCAACCACTGCACGCTCTACTCGTGTAATACGTCTTCAATTACTACCACGTACATAATTGCAAACAAACTCCTAAATCTCACAACAAAGACTAAAGCTAACCTATAAATGCCATTACAGTGACTGATATTCAACTTGTGCAATGATATAACATAAAAAGTGACTTCACTAAGGATACACAAAACAATAAAAAATGTGTGGACGCGTACATAAACTGTGAATCAACACACCGCTTCTCAAATCCCACAGAAAAACAATCAATCAATCATTTCCACAACATTAATATATGTAAAACACAACAAACCAAAGGTTCTCTCCACACATATAGAACCATAACAGGATGTCATTTTAGCATCACTTTGTATCTATATGCATGCCGCCTCTACTTATTAAACCCAAATTGTCAAATTTGGGTTTTTGCATTGAAAAGAGGGTTAATGTTGTGACCTCTGCAAAGGAAATTTTTATCTTTTTAGAGATGGAGAGAAATTTACAAAGCGAAAGAGAAGTTGAGTATGTAGATATCTGTAACAGAGAACACCAAAGTCATTGAAAAATAATAAAATAATAAAAAAACAAACAAACAAAAGGAAAAAAAAAAAGAACACCAAAGATTGTACCTCCTCCTCTCTCTCTCTCTCTAAACACACATCCACAAAACATAATAAAGTCTAACACAAAAATTCTTAATTTAATTTTTTTATGTAATCGTTATTTGATTTTTTGACGTTGCTCTTTTTGGTAGCTTTTAAAAGAAAAGAATATAGAGTTGTAAATCACAAACTTTTCACTTTGCGAGACATGGGACAACAGGAACCACTACACAACTTTGCAAAAACTTTAATCACTTGGAAAAGTTGAAGATGGTTTTTCAGTTGATAGAAATCAAGACAGCAAAACTCTGATATTCAAAGCCATCCTTTGGATTTTCATTACATCAATTTTATCAACAATCAAACAGGTTTTAAATCTGATCCTTATTTAAAAAGGTCCAATACAACCATTGAGCTTATCTAAAAGAGTTGGGCAAGTTAATGGAAATTCAAAGCAGCATGAAGAAACACTTCTGTGAAGGAGCTTGTCCCCAACTCACAAAGATTAAATATTCATGCTCTCTCAAAGATTCAAACTAGAAGTGAAACTTCCAACATAAAAATGTCCTAGAGGGCACCTAGCCATTTTTTCTCACAATTCATTCCCTGGATGATTTTACCCCCTCCACTTCCCCTCCCCAAAGTTCATCACCTCCAATATAAATAAATTAATATTGAAAAAGAAAGAAAGAAATTCATGTTTCGGGCACATCAATTGCCCCTGTATGAGAAAAGAATTATTCTTCAAAAAATTGTCTATGTAACAGGTTCAGAGCTGAGAGAATAGAAAGTCTACGCACCATCTACTAATTGGACTAAACATCTGGAGAACAACTACAACAACAATATGACAAACAATCCTGTAAAGGACCAACCAAATTTGTTTACTTTATATGGCACCCAGGAAAGCAAATCCCAGTAAAGAACAAGAGATAAGAAAATTAGCGAAAGCCAAGCATTTTTTAAATGCAAACAAGCAACCAAGAAAAGACCAAGACCACATACCTTTCCCGTTCCAGGAGGGCCAAAGAGTAGAATACCTTTCCATGGTGATAGAAGACCAGTGAAGTACCTAGCACAAAAACAAAAATGAGCTTGACCAATAAAGTAAATACTTCAAAGGTGTATCCTATATCGATTCAGATGCTACCACTTCACTTCTTCGAAACCTATGAAGCATAGGTACTTCAACAAACATGTCATACCCGTACCAAGTACTGGTACTTTGCATGGTTACTTCTAAATGCATACCAGGCATACAAAACACATACCAAATTTTTCCTTCTTAATATTTGTTGTATTGTAGAGGTGCTTAGTATATACTGAAGCCGTATTTTCTTCTATACAAAGATGAAATTTTTTTTTTTTTCAACAGCAATAACAATGATTATATTAATCAAGTAAAAGAGAAGTGAGGACAAGGAATCCTCTTATACGGCAAAAGGAAAAGAAAGTCACTATTAAACATGTCAAAGAAAGAAAACTAAGACTAACAAACTGCTCCCCAATCTGTAGAAATCAAAAAAATTGGGACCCTTTTAAATGGAGGAGAAACATATGCCCAGAACGAAGCCAAATGACATGATTTGTCCCATAATGCATCAACCTCCGCCCCCTGTCTTCAAATATCCATCCATTTCTTTCTAACCAAATAGTCCAAAAGATAGCACAGACAACACAATGCCACAAAGTTTTGGCTTTCTTATTGCCACCAAAATCCCAAAAATCAATTAAGAGTGTATGCAAACGAGCATCTGAAGCCACACATAGTGAGTCACTCAAACAAGAAAGACAAAGCCATAAACTGAAAGCCACTGGGCAATGTAGAAATACATGATTCATTGATTCCTCATATCTCCTACACATGATGCACCATTGAGAACAAAGAAAGTGATTAGGTCTCCTCTTTTTCAAAATTATCATTGGTCATAATGCTTCTATGCACCAAACACCACCTAAAAAACTTCATTTTAAAAGGTAAATTGTTTTGTGTAATGGAAAGAAAGGAACTTCAGACTTATCAGTGATGCTATGATTGTTTTGTGAGATGAAGTTAGTTTCCCTGGCCCCTTTTTTCTTATGTTTAGCATGATTTTAAAATTTAGCTTTTGTTTATAAGTTATTTAATATATTAACATTTAATTTTGGTTTATACCTTAATTGTTGGTTGGATCTTAACCAACAAAACGATTAAACCAATTTTTGCATTACTATTAAAAATAAATAAATATTTTTTTACCAGTGTTTAGGTGTTCACTAACAAGACCTACTTGGGATATTTTATTGGCATGACAACTGCTTCTTTAAGTAGCTGTTTAGCATTCTCTAATCCTTTTATGCTTTCCCACTTCACATCTGGATTTCCCCAAATAATATCCCTGCATAGAAAACAGAATACATGAACATGAATACTTACAATGCTTCCAGTCTTCTTCATAAACCAAGGCAGACGGCCAACTCCCAAGTGTTAGAAATTTACCTACTTAAACTCTCTGCTAATGTACGCATTTCTGCAGATTCAAAAGCAGGAAGCAGATTTTTCTGCCTGAAAAAAGAAAATCAAATATCAGCAGATTCCCATAGAAGACAATGCTCCTGCAGTTAATCACAACTTGAACAAATGAGCATAGCATTTCATATTCTCTCATTAGCTAGTAAGCATACAGTTAAGTCTACTCTAAACTCAATTGAATCATTTATCCATACCAATAAGATTAAGGATCCCAAGACTGCTGAGTAAAAATTTGAAAATTAAACACTAATATATTAAATAAATAAAAAATTTCACTTATTGACATTACCAGGGCTTTGAATATCGAATGTTTCATATTGTGTCACCCATTACATATCGGGATTTTGGACTTCTGATATTGTTATTCATTGGCATATTGGCCGATCCTGTCCAATATTGGTTAATATATGATTGTATCATCGATACAAATACAAATCCTGATACCATTATTTAAAACCATGGACATTACTGACTTGTTTGCTGCTCTACTATGCTACTCCATTTAGCATTTTAATGAATGTATTTGTTTTCTTCATTTGCCAGTTGACATCTATAGGCAACAACGTCACTGCAATGGATAATGTAAGGTATTATTTACCATATAATCTTTTATTCTAGTTAATCAAAGTGATTGTTTTCTTCATTTGCCAGTTGACATCTATAAGCAAACTCACTACAATGTATAATGTAAAGTATTATTTACCATATAGTCTTTTATTCTAGTTACTCAAAGTGATAGTAAATCAAAATTAAGGACTTCTATCTGACTTTATTAAAACTTGCCATTCTCTATAACTCATTACATCCTCACAGATCTTAACAAGCACTTAATAAACATAATATGCACATTCATTTTTTCCTAATCTACAGAGTGAGCAGAAAGACACTTCATAACAGTAAAGCTTAAGAAACGTTATAAACAAAAAATCTTGTTTACGCAATCCAAAAGTTCTGTTAAAATAACACTAAAGAGGCTCAGTATCAGCCAGAGCATGCTCAGACATTCCTCCTATAAGGATATAACAAGAAATAACTAAATAAGAAACAACTACCAATAATAAAAGCTTTGCAAAAAATTCTAATACATAGCAGCAACATTATTCATCACTATTCAACTTAACCTCTATAGGCCACAACTGCCGTGAGAAAGTCGATCGCATGCATGGCAACTCACACAACCCACAAATGTAACACAATGGTGGCTATGAGTTCCTACAGTAGGTGACAACCCCTCCTCAGAACATGAATGAGAAGTCCTTTTTTCTTACACCCAATCCTTTGCAGTCATTGTCACAATTTTTCTCCAAATCCTTTAAACCACAATTTTCACTTGAATGAAATCTAGAAATCAAGAGTTCATCTGTCATCTAAGTTTGCAACACCAATATCATCCCAAAGCTTAGATTAGGTCACCGTTTTTATCTAAATCTTTGTATTTTATACATAGTTTTTAAAGGCGAATGCGTACCTCGAGGCGTTTTACCCCGCATGAGGCGAGACGTAAGCCTTAGAGCGTTGAGGCGTAAGCATTTCAAATTTCAAATTTTAATATTTAGTCAATAAATTAAATATTTTAAAATAGTAAAAAAATAAAAACAAAATTAAATGTGAAAGTGTAGATACTTTTCGCTTTAATGCGTTGAACATTTTACTGCATAGAAGGAAGTTTTCCTTCACTAAAAGTGAAATTGATATTCTTAACTTCAGTGATTGAGTTTCTCACTTGACCATTAACTGTGTTTTTTCTTGATTGATCATTTACTTAATTTTTCCTGTAAAATATAGTTGCAAAAAGGGTTTCTTTTTATTTTTTTATGTTTAAACAATCCAATAGACTAAGTTTAATAAAAGCCCAAGGCAACCTCTGTATGTGCATACTCCTCACATGTTTATATGCAAAAGGCATACAAAGCGCACCTAAGGGGCATGTCTCAAACTATGATGCGCAAGCCTTTGGGGAGTAATGCTTAAAAATCAAAGCCTTGATGCGTTTTACCTTATCCTCAAGGCGAGGCGAGCATCAAGGCGAGCCTCAGAAAAGCCTTTTAAAACTCTGATTTTATAGACCCGATAAGAGGGGTTGCTTACAATTTTCTCTTATAAGCAAAATTATATTAGCAAAAATGCCTAGAGGGGATGAACCCTTTACACTCAAAAGGCCAAAGCCTGTGTGCCATACATCCACAGGCATATACAAGCCACCTATAAACTTTACAAAAGACAAAATAGACAAAGAACAATCCTATCTTAACCAAAAAATAAATAAAATTTGAGAAAGGAACAAAGATCCTTTTAGACTATTTAAAGGCAACTGAGGAGCCTCAAAAATCCTACCAAGCTCTCTCCAAACTGCTAACAAGACACATAGTCGTGTCTGCTAATTTTTCCTTTCTGACATCTTTGGGAAACAAGAACTCCAACACGCAAGAAGCTTAGTGTGACGACCCTGATGTACATATTTATTTTTATATATTATTTTATTGAGCATAATTGCAAGATTATGTGTTTAATTTGTGTCTAACTGTTTGCTTAAGAAATATCTGTTAGAGTACCGGCATAGAATTCGAAATTGAAAACTCAAACGGATTCAGAAACCAAAATTGATTAGTTCAATAGGCTAATTGAAATATTTAGGATCATATGGAAAATTTAATGAAAATTTGATTTGGATCAAAATAATTAGAATAAATCAATTAAAAATGATTAGGATTAATTAGGCTTAAGTTAGATTAATTAACCTTAAGCCCACTTAATAAACTTAATCTACTTATATATATATATGCCTTAAACATGCTTTGAGCTCATTTTTATGAAGAGTGTGGCTGAGATTGTAAACAGAGAGGGAAGCCAACTTCTAGACAGAGAGAAGAAGAGAAATTGTAGAGATTGAAGAAGAATTGAGAAGATTTAGCTAACACACCTTCAATTTAAGCTCTAGGTAAGATTATCACCCATAATTCTTGTACATAATCCATGTAAAAGTTGAATTCATGTAGCTTGTAGGATCATTTGCACGAAATTGGGAAAAAGATGCTAGAATCACTTGAATTCTTGTAGGATTGAGTTGAAATTGGACCATACATGCATAATTCATCATCTTTAAGTTTGATTTTCTAAAAATTCATACATGCATGGAGTTTATAATGTAAGTTTTAGAGAAGAGAGAAAGATAGGGAATGAGTTAGACCTCATCCCTTTTTATATTGATAATAATAAGTACTTACAAGAGTGCCACAAGGTATAAATTATGGGTCAGCCCATTACACCAGTCAATATCAATCAAGGGAAAGTAAAATCAAATAAGAATAAAATTTAAGTAATACTATTTCCTATTCTAACACTCCCCCTCAAGCTGGTACGAAGATATCTCGCATGCCCAGCTTGTTGAGAATGCCATGAAATGGTTTGCTTCCTATTCCCTTTGTGAGAACATCTGTTAGTTGGTCCCCAGTCTTCACAAATGGAGTATATATGGTGCTGCTAGTGAACTTTTCCTTGATGAACTGCCTATCAATCTCCACATGCTTGGTTCTATCCAAAGTTCTGATAAGCGGTTGTGGTCGCCGTAACGGTGGCGGTGGCGTGGTTGAGGTTATGGGGTGTAAAGGTCGTAGCGTAACGGTTGCGGTAACCGGAACCATGAATATTTTTATTTTTCACACAATTTGAAAAAAAAACTTACCGATACGTATATTTTTTTTCCATGATCATATTTATTGGGTTTAAAATAAATATTGATTAATTTTTATAAATTTTTAAGTATGATCCAATATATTTCATATTTTTAAATCACTATAAACTGGGTTTTTTACATTTTATTTTAATAATTAATGACTTTATATTATACAAAAAATCAATCACTAACTATTATATATAAGATAAATAATAACAAAAGTAAGAAAATAAATAAGAACCTAAATATATATATATATATACATATTTTAACCAAGCCAAATAGATAATGACCACACTTATTATTATTATTATTATTATTATTATTATTATTATTATTATTATTATTATTATTATTATTTTCAAATAATATACAGATAGACACACACAAACAAAATGGTTAAGTGATAGCAGCTAAATAGAATAACATAGGTCTTATAGTTTCAACAAATCAATAACATGTTCTTCATCTTCCCTCTTATCTATCTCTCTCTATCTCTTGCTCATCTATCTTCTCTCTTTATCTTCCCTTTTCTCTCTATCCATCTTCCCACATTTGCAAGTTTTTTTTTTGTGTTTTTTCGAAAGAAGCAGTTCGGAACTGTTACGTAATGGTGCGTAACATGCCGTTACGATTGTTACAGCACCGTTACGACCACTACAGCCGACACACCCATGAATCTCAATCACACTGCAAAAGCGGCCGTAATAGGTGGCGGTAACCACCACAACCGTTAGGTAACGGCATTACGTATCGGTTGCGGCCGCTTTTTAAAACTTTGGTTCTGTCATATTGAACTAAATTATGAGCTATGTTGATTGTGGCCTTGTTGTCACAGTACAATCCCATGGAATCAGTCTGATATATCCCCATGTCTCCTGTTAGAATTTACCATCACCTACCACCACTACCACCTCACCTACTCCACTAAACCTAACCCACTACACCACTATCACCATCCACTACACACCATCCACTACACCTACATCTATATAAGGAACCATTTGTAATAGACAGATATAACAACATATCAATCAATAATACATAAATTCTTACATGGTATCAGAGCGAGGTTAAGAACCTAATATTTTCGTTCCACCAGCGGGCGGCAATCTCGCCTTGGCCGCCCGCCGGACAACCCAACACAGACCAGCCACACATAGACACCATTCTCTCTTCTCTCTAACACAAACCCAGCAGCTCACACACACACCCATCACCTCTCCCTCTCGACATACACACACATATGCATGGCAGTTCTCTCTTCCGGAACTCGGTTGGGACTTTCGTCGAACACTTCGTCTACACCCTCAACACCCTCCTCTCCTTCTCCCTTCAATCCCATGTCTAACCCCAACAACAACAACAGACCCAACCTATTTCTCCAATCTTCGCCAAGAATCATCATTCCCAACAATGGGTTTCACATGAACCCTTCTTCTTCTCCTTCCTCTCCTTGGTCTGTTTCTGGGTTTTCGGTCACTCTATTTCTCACTTTGTGTTGGCTTTCTCTTGCTAATCGGCCACCGAGATATCGGATTCAGACACTCGATTTTCTTACCCACAAATTCAAACATGAAAATCTTCGTCAAAACGCTCAAAGGCACTAACTTCGAAATCGAAGTGAACCCTCAACACACTGTTGCCGATGTGAAGAAAAATATGGAAACAAACTCAAGGTGACTACATCAAGACACCGCTGGTTCGTCCTCAAACAAGGCAAGCTCCTCTGGTTCAAGGACTCCTCCGTCACACGCGCCTCCTTCCCCCGCGGCGTCATCTCCGTCGCCACCTGCCTCACCGTCAAGGGCGCCGAGGACGTCCTCAACAAGCCCTTCGCCTTCGAGCTCTCCACCGATCGCTTCACTGAGAGTTGCGGCTGCCAAGAGGGACAACCCGGAGGTGTTGACGAGGTCAAGTCAGATCTCTCTCTACCCTTAGATTTGTCTCTCTTTTCGATCCATCAATGGCTTCTGTCACTGGATCGTCCTTGACCTCTTTCTCATGCTTATTCAAACAAAACCAGGCACCCACCAGGATCTCTAGTCCGAATTCGGTGTCCCTATTGATTAAAGGGAAAGGCTTTACATCACTCAGGAGTCACCCATGTGACCCACTTCACCAATGTTCCCACCATGTCTCACCCATACCCTTTTTTTTATTTTTTTTAAACCAATCTTCATCTCTGCACCCACTCATCTTTTTTATTTTTATGTATTTTCTTGTTTTGTTCCTCTCTTCAAACTCAAGTTGGTTAGTTTCTATCCTCCTTGAGTTTGCGGGGGGCTGTTAGAATTTATCATCACCTACCACCACTACCACCTCACCTACTCCACTAAACCTAACCCACTACACCACTATCACCATCCACTACACACCATCCACTACACCTACATCTATATAAGGAACCATTTGTAATAGACAGATATAACAACATATCAATCAATAATACATAAATTCTTACATCTCCCAACAATAGTCTAATCAGCAACTCACATACACGCTGCACCATAGCCCTGAATTCTGCCTCAGCACTAGATCTAGCAACTACATTTTGTTTCTTACTTTGCCACGTGACTAGGTTGCCCCCAACAAATGTGCAATATCCAGAAGTTGATCGTCTGTCAGTGATTGATCCAGCCCAATCCGCATCAGTGAATGCCTCCATATTGAAATGTCCATGTTCTAAGAAATAGAGACCCTTGTCAGGAGAAGCCTTCAGGTATCTCAGAATTCTCATAACTGCCTCTAAGTGGGAATTTCTATAAGCATGCATAAACTGGCTAACCATGCTCACTACAATGGCAATGTCTAGACAGGAGTGAGATAAGTATATGAGCTTACCCACTAGCTTTTGGTATCGCCCTCTGTCCACCGGATCTCTCTCTTGATCCTCACTAAGCTTATGGCTCGATTCTAGAGGTGTATCACATGGTCTACCGCCAAGCATCCCAATTTCCTTTAGCAAGTCAAATACATACTTCCTCTAGCATATGAAGATGCCATCCTTAGACCGAGCTACTTCAATGCCCAAAAAATACTTCAAATTGCCTAAGTCTTTGATTTCAAACTCCTTGGCTAAGTATTCCTTCAACCGAGGGATCTCCTCAACAACATCTCCTGTCAGAACAATATCATCAACATAAACAATACGAGATGTGGTCTTACCAAGTAAGGAGTGTTTCACAAATAAGGTGTGATCCGCTTGACTTTGCTTGAATCCATATCTCAACATACCTTGAACAAACCTTTCAAACCAAGCCTTAGGGGATTGCTTTAGCCCATAAAGTGACTTTTGAAGCCTGTACGCTTTACCTTTGGAGCTAGCATCCTCAAAACCAGGGGAAATATCCATATAGACCTCTTCTTCTAAGTCTCCATGAAGGAAGGCATTCTTCACATCAAACTGATGAAATGGCCAATCCAAATTTGCTGCAAGAGAGAATAGTATTCTCACGGAGTTCATCTTAGCAACCGGTGCAAATGTCTTCTGGTACTCTACCCCATAAGTCTAAGTAAAACCCTTAGCAATAAGTCTTGCCTTGTACCGCTCTATGGAACCGTCTGCTTTGTGTTTCATAGTGTACATCCACTTACACCCAATTGGATTTTTGCCTCGAGGAAACTCCACTAACTCCCACGTGCCATTCTTGCTGAGAGCTCTCATCTCCTCCATCATGGCATGTTTCCATTCAGGAATAGAGAGAGCATCCTGAAAATTGTTAGGCAGACTCACAGAAGAAATTTTAGACAGAAAGACTTTATATAAAGGAGACAGATTAGAATAAGAGACATGATTAGTAAGAAGATGCTGAATACATGACCTAGCCTCTTTCTTATTAGCAATGGAAACATCAAGATCGAAGAATTCAGACATAGGAGCATTAAAATTAGAATTACTTGAACTCTCAAGAGAGGGGGATGACTCTGGACACTCATCCGAAGAAGAAATTGGCAGTAGAGGAGGGAAAGTAGTCTCTTGCATCCAAGTGACTTTCTGCCTATCTTTGTCCTGACATAAACTTTGTCTTCTTCCTTTTCCACAACAATTGCTGGCTCAACATCCTCTATCTGTTCCACCACTAGTGGTAGTGGCACAAGAATCTCTCCACACCAAGGCCCCCCTTGAAGGAATGCCTGTGACAATGAGGAGCTCGGAAAGTAAGACTGAGACTTAAAGAAAGTAATATCCATGGAGACAAACCATTTGCCAGATGAAGGATGATAACACTTATAGCCCTTTTGGGTGGCAAAGTAACCTAGGAAAATACACTTAAGAGACCTAGGATCCAATTTACCACGAGTGGGTAAATGATTATGGACAAAACAAACACATCTAAAGGTATTAGGAGGAATAGAGAACCCAAAAGACCTGAACCCGAGGCAAACATGAAGAGGGGTTCATTTTTTAAGAACTTGGGTGGGAAAACGATTAATCAAATAAGTTGCAGTGAGAATTGCTTCCCCCCAATAGGACCGAGGGACGCGCATTTCAACTAATAAACAACGGGCCACATCAAAAAGGGGGCGATTTTTCCGCTTTCCATTCGGTAACACCATTTTGTTGAAGAGTATTAGTGCAAGAAGTTTGGTGAATAATGCCGCGAGTGACAAAATAACTAGCAAGACCAGTGTCAATATATTCTCTCCCCATTATCAGAACGCAGAATTTTTACAACCGCCCCAAACTGAATGCAAACCTATAGAAAACACTTCACTCTTGTCTTTCATCAAATATACCCAAGTGGCCCTAGAACAATCGTCGCTGATAATGACAAACCATTTTTGACCCTTTAAAGACACAAAACAAGAGGGACTCCATACATCAGAATGAATCAAAGAAAAAGGAACTGAATTTTTATTAATAGGAGCAAAAGAAACTCTGTATTGTTTTCCAAGTTGACAAGACTCACATTGAAAATAAGACACATTATTTTTCTCAAAAACAGAAGGAAATAAATGCTTAAGTAGTAAAAATGAGGGATGTCCTAAGCAATAGTTCCACAGCCAAAGGTCTTCCTTGGATGATGGTAACTGAAGAGATGAATAGGCCACCTTGTTTGGCTGATCCTGAATGTAGAGACCATGTTCCACTCTACCACTGTCAATCCTCTTCCTCGTGATAAAGTCCTGAAAAAGATATCAGGAAAAAAACGTCACGCTACAATTCAAATCGCGATTAATATGACTCAGAGATAAAAGATTAACACTAAATTTGGAAACATGGAGTATAGAGGATAAAGAAAGGGAAGAGGTGACATGAATTAAATCTTTCCCTGACACAAACGAAATAGTACCATCAGCAATACGCACTTTTTCCTGACCTAAGAAAGGGTTATACTCAAAGAACAAATGAGAGGAACCAGACATATAGTCGGAAGCACCAGAATCAATAATCCGAGGCACAGTAGGATGAGATAACAATACACATGTGAAGGAAGCCATGTTACCTGAATTGGCAAAAGAAGAAGAGGATGCACCTGTGGCAGAAGTAGAGGCTCGACGATCTAGCAAGTGGTGATGAGTAATCTCAAAATCGAAGGCAGATAACCCCGAAACATCAGCAACCGATAAAACAACGAGAGATAAAGGTGGTGGCTCAACTGTGTCTGAAAGATGCGCTCATGCATTGGCCCCTCGGCCTCTAGACTGACCAAACCGACCCCATCGAGTACCAGGATAGTCTCGTCGGCCACCAGAAGGAGTCCCATACAGTTTCCAACAGGTCTCTCTTGTGTAGTGAGGTCTACGGCAGTAGTCACACAAAAGTTGATCCTTCTTAGAGGAGGAACGAGAACCACGAGGCAAGAGGAAGCATAGCAGAACGGCGACTTTTCTCATTTTGCACAAAAGCAAAGGCTTCTTAAAGAGATGGAAGCACGTCCATGCCGAGTACTCTACTCCGAACAGGATCATACTCCACATTTAGGCCCTCCAAGAACTTGAAGACGCGCTCTTTCTCCACAAACTTCCAGTAACCAGCAGAATTAGTAGGACACACAGGCTTGTAATCCTGAAGGTGATCAAGTCGCTTCCACCCATTGCTCAAGAAAGTAAAATACTGGAGGATAGTCATTTCACCTTGCACCGAACCTCTCAATGGAGCGACGTAACCCGAAAGCCTGTGAGAAGTTCCCCTTCTTAGAGTAAGTAGTCGCTATGGCCTCCCAAATATCCTGAGCAGTGTCCATAGACAAATAGCTCTCTCCAATCTTCGAAACCATAGAATGGACCAACCAACCCATAATCAGAGAATTGATGATCTCCCACTGGTCATAACGAGGGTCTGTGATACTGGGTGCCTGGACCCTCCCATTAACATATCCCATCTTTCCTTTGCTCCTCAAGAAAATAGTCAGACTCTGCGACCATGTTAGGTAGGTAAATGGTGATTTTAAAGCCAGTGTTAAGGTTATCAATCATAGTGGAAGGAATAACAGAACTCTCGCCCTGAGATGGTTGAGAGGTAATAGATTCACTGATCAAATCCACCATGAAGACTCTACTAACTATTCCTCAAACACGATGCCAATCACAAATCCGAAAGATGAGATGAGAACAAGCACAACAATAACTATAAAAGCATAAAGAATTAAGAATCTACTCTTTTTTTTTTTCTTTTTTTTTTCTTTTTTAATAAAGCAATAAAGAGAACTGTTTCAAGAACCTGGGTACTATATCAACAAAGCGATGAAGGAGGGCAAAAACATGGGTTGTCGACTAGTCGACTAGGTCTGTCGAGATACCCCTCTGTCAGCTAGGGCTATCGGATGACTCGGCAAGGCTGGGACAGCCGGCAGGAGGGAGCGATGAGGCCAGGAGGCCTGTCAGAGGAGACCAACGAGGCTGGACAGCCTGCGACAGTGAGCAATGAGGCTAGGATTGCCTCCGGCAGACGTTAGCAACGAGCGACTAGGCCAAGAGGCCCTTCGATGGCAGACGTTACACCTGTCAAAACTGAATGGGTGGCTGATGGATGGCTGTGTGGTGGAGGGATTTAGGTTTGTGGCTCTGATACTATGTAAGTTTTAGAGAAGAGAGAAAGATAGGGAATGAGTTAGACCTCATCCCCTTTTATATTGATAATAATGAGTAATTACAGGAGTGCCATAAGGTATACATTATGGGCCAGCCCATTACACCAGTCAACATCAATCAAGGGAAAATAAAATAAAATAAGAATAAAATATAAGTAGTACTATTTCCTATTCTAACATATATATGCTAACTTAAGGGATTCTTCATGTTTTTACACTCCTCATTTCATTCAATTATGTTTTGAAAGGAAAGAAGTTCAATTCATTACATGCAAGGCAAAAACATTGAGTTTTGAGCTTTGTTTTGGAGAATTGAAAGAGAATTTGAGAATATGGTTCATAATTTCCATGAGTTGATGTTTTATAGAGAGTTTCTTCAAGTCCATATTAGTCATGCAAGCTTTGAACATGAGACACATTTTTTAACTTCAAATTGTAATCTGGAAAACCCAGAATTCGCTCAGTTCGCTTGAGCGACGTATCCGTAGCTCAAGCGCAATTTGCATGCTTCCAGTATGTTTACAGACATTTGCAATTGGCTCGAGCGACCACGTGTGCGCTCAAGCGAACTCGACTTTGCATTGCACTTGACTCAAGCGACCAAGTGATGGCTCGAGCCTCTACTTTAACGCCTCCCAGTACTATTGCAGTCAGGCCACACTGCTTGAGCGACCAAAGATGCGTTCGAGCAAAGACCCTGTTTTCAGCAATCTTTGGCAAACACTCATATGCGCATATTTGCATCTCTATACCCTTTTAAGCATTCTAAAGAATCATTTAGACATCCTTAATCATGGAATAAGCTAAAAACACACGTAAGAGAATTGAATTAAGATGCGATATTTGTTTTGTACGTGTGCTTCAATGTGTATCTCTGTTATGTATTTTGTGTAGGTGGTCATTCGAGGCCTAACAACTATGCTAGCCCACTGTGAGTAGTATCTTTGTAAAAATATGTTCAAATGTATTTTGAATTATCTCAAGAATGTTATTTTGAAATTCTATTTTGACTAAATGAATGATTGTCTCATTTGAAATATATTTGTGGTATCCTTTGGCGAAACCCTCGCCTGGAGAAACAATAACACGGCCCTTTGTTTGATAAGGCCCTTGCCTGGGGGAAATAATACCAAGGCCCTTCTCTATTTGATTACAGAGATCTCTGATGTTGACGAGTGGTCCCTTTGCTTAACCTAGATGGTCCCTTCGTTTAGACCCATGTGGTCCCTTTGTTGACCTTCATAGTCCTTTTGATATATGCCTTCGGGCTCTTTGCTTTGTGCCATTGGATGACCATATATGAGTTATGATTTATGATTTATGAACTTTTGACATGATAAGTACCTAATTATGATTTGTTTTGAAATTCATAAGATATGATTTGTATTACACTAGACATCATTCATTTAACCTCTTTATATTGATATTACTCGTTGGGCTTTAACTCACCACTTTCACCTATATATATGTAGGAAAGCAAATGAAGCATCAAGAAGCTGCTTCTGGAGTGCCTCCGTGATGGGGCATACTTGGACTCGAGTGGAGCCAAGCCATGTCAACCTTTCATTTTATGTTGTTTTGTTTTTGTCATTTGGCAACTTGTTTTGAATGGATATTATGTATAAAGAGTATAACTTGATGTGATTTACTTATGTATCTATAAATGTATGCATGAAGTTTTAAGGTTTTAATACTTACGAATTTTGCATGTCTGCATCGCTTGATGGACGAAGTTATATTCCATTATTGCTTCCGCAAAGCCCAGTTTACTATTCTTAATTATTTGGTTTGTCTTTGAGGCCAAATAATCTGGGATTACTAGCCGGTCATAATCTAAACCTCTAGGGGCAAGTTTCGGTCCTGACACGTAGGCACCAATGATGGCATCACCCAAAACACATCAAAGAGTGAGCAAATTAGGTTCCACGGCCAAAGAACCCCTGCCTGCTTGCTTACAACACCACTATAATGTCTTGCGTCTCTTTCTAATGTTGTCAATAATCAAAATGGCCTCCAAATAAATTGTTCAAACAAAAACAACACGGTTAGAAGACAATGGGAAGCCCCACTATCTCATAAACCTAGTATAAGAAACAAACCAAAATCATGATTATCCTAGCCTCCCTAAAGAATCTTAGCGTCACAGCAAAAACCAAAGAAAGCCACGATGGACTGAACTTCCCAGTTCTCTTACCGATTCACCATCTTCAAACAAGACAGACTCCCCAACAGCCACATTAGGGTCGACAACCAATCAAAACAAATATAAGAACAATCCTTACGAAGTTTATGGTTTCACCACAAATCAAACCAAACTTTACCCTTCTCCCATGCCCCACCTTATATGGCACTCTCTTAGCGCAGTCATCCCACACCCTCATGATGGTATTCCCCCATATCTTAAAAGCCAACAGCGTTGTCAGCAGACTAATAACCTAATCACTCTAAAACAACCTTCCACCAATGGCGACTCTAGGAATTTAAGTCAGTGGTGTCAATTGAAAGGAAAAAATATCTAACGAAAACAAAAAAATATATATTGTATTTTATATTATAGAATATTTTAAAGAAAAAAATAAGCCAAGATTAATTTTTATGTAGGTTCAATGTCCCATTTGAAAAAAACATAAAAGTTAGCTTTTAAAATTATGGAGTTTTATATTAATGCTTAAAATGCTTTGAATAAGTTGTAATGCTTTATTTGATTTATTGGAATGAGATAAAATGGAATGTAATGATCATTCATTTAGCTTCCTTATGGAATGATCATCCCCTTACAATAGTGAATAATTATTCCATTTGTAATGTAATTTTCATTAATTATTTAGTCAACCAAACATAGTAATGAATATTTTGATAGAATAATCATTCAATTTCCTCTATTCTAATAGTGTTTGGTACAATGTGATATGTTGAAATTGATTTGTAAATAATTAATAAGCCTAAAAATTTGTGGGTTCAAAGTCACTTTTTTAGTGAGGTCAGTTATGATAACACATTTCTAAAACAAAAATTATATGCAAAGTAAAATAAATTTTTTCTTCTATTGAGGGGGTTCAAGTGACACCACAAGCTATGCTGTGGCGTCGCCCCTGCCTTCCACCACTCTTCTCCATGCCCATAATTTATTGTTCTCCAAAGCAAACCTCTAGAATTACTTCCCTGACAGAGCTTTATTATACACCATCAGCCAACAAACACCCCAACCTCCCCTGCGGATGATAGGCAGCCACACTTTGTCCCAGTTTACCAAATAAATGGGGGATCGTTTGTGTTACGGTCCCACAGTCCCACATCAGTTGACAATGGATTCGGCCATGTGAATAAAAGCACTTTAGAACCCTCCTTTTGCATGCCAATTTACCCAAGGGTTTGTATCATTTGGTATCAAAGCCAGGCATCATGTCCAGAATGATATGGGGTGGAACCTATGCTAGTATGGGATCAAACACTACCAATTTTAGTATGGGAGCAACTAGGTTGTGTCTTTATGGTTCGAGCTATGAAGGGGCAACCTATAGATTGGATTATGACACATTAACATTGTATTTGGGCATATTACTATTGTGTTGAAATTGATAGAAGAATGAAGCCGCCAAAAGAAAAGGCCTACCATCAGGTCAATGTCGATAGAGTGTCATGCCATGGACGTCAACTACAAAGCATGGCCATGTGAATGATAAGAAGCATACTTTGTCCTAGATTTCCAAATAAAAGGGGGTTGTTCGTGTTACGATCCCACATCAATTAACAATGGGTTTGGCCATGTGGATATAAGCTCATGGGCCCGTTTCCTTTGCATGCGAGTTTTCGATGATGAGTTTTATTGAAAGGCTTGTATCATTTGGTATCAGAGCAAGCCACCACGTTCAGAATGGGATCGAATGCAACCTATAGACTAGATTAAGACATATTAGTTTTGTATTTGGGCACAGTACTATCATGTTAAACACTAACAGTAGAGCGAAGCCGCCAAAAGAAAAAAGGCCTGCCATTAGGTCAGTGTTAATAGACTAGACCACCATGGACTTCGACTATGTAGCATGGTGGTATGTTACAATCTTACATCCATTAATAATTGGTTTATCTATGTGAATATAAGCTATTGGGCACCCTTTGTTTATAAATCGATTTTCAAGTGAGTTCTACCAAAGGGTTTGCACGAATTTTACTTTCAAATTAAACATATTCTTAGGCCTACTATATTTACTTTCGGCAGTTAAAACACATTCAGACACATTTTCCAGGTAACATCTAATATTGAAAAAATAAAACATATAAACATTGAAGTTTTTTATTTTTTCTATTGGTTTTTGAGACTTGTATATAATATAGTACTCGCAATAGATCACATCAAAATAAATGTTGTAAATCCTAAAGTAATAATATTGTTCACAAACTTTACAAGTAAGCATCTGTAAGAACAGATTTTAACTTCATGAACATGTTTTTTTTTTGTTTTTTAATCCACAACTTCATGAACATATTTTCTTGGTTATATTTTGTTATTTCAATAATTTATCACTTAAAATTGCATTTCACTTGCAACAAGCCCCCCCCCCCCCCCTCCCTCCTTTTACTGGGAGAAAGAAGAAGCAACTGTAAGTGACTCAGAAAGCAATAGGAAGGATTCACTAGTCATGCTAAATTGCATTAACATGTTGAGTAATATTCACTAAGAGTAATTAAAAATGTTACTTTGTCGGAGCTTAAGGTTAGGACAGTTTTATTGTAAATGCAACATAAAAATTTTATTTCTTTACACAAAATTTCCTGACTTATTATAATATGAAGTCGTGTATCCATTTCATTATCTGTGTACCACCAAGTATGTCCATTAAAAATACATTCACATCACAACCACAATGCAACGACAACGTTAGTCGCAACCACAATTTAAAGCCACGAGTAGCACAGACATGGCATACAGGCACGCAAACATAGAGAGAGGAATCCTACTATAACAATGTTCTTTGGCTAAGGCTTCACATTAAGTTTCATTTTAAACGGTTTCTCTAAGTTAAATTCCATGAATAACATTATACAAATGAAGTTCTATCCATTCTTGGTTTACAAATTTTCGTCATATCCAAGCTAAGGTTAATAGCTGAACAAGATTCTTCCAAGATAGCATTCTTTATGTGGGCAACAGCGTTAGATAGAATTCTTGCGATTGATATTCTTATTTGGCGGCAGAAAATTTTGGTAAATTGGTGTAGTATTGTATGTGTGGCAAAGGATGCAGAGTTGGTTCCTCATCTGCTTCTTCATTGCTCTATGGCTTATCAGCTTTGGGTGCTAATTTTCTCTATGTTTGGTCATCAGGTTTGGGTGCAACATGGGACTATTCAGGAAGTACTTCATAGTTGGAGAGGGGTAGGGTTGGGAAGAGGCATAGGAAGGCGTGGACTGTAGCATCTCTGTGTTTGATGTGGATAATTTGGATGGAGCGTAACCGGCATATTTTTCAAGGCGTGGGCAAGATGGTGGTTCATATGAAGGCTCAATTTCTAATAATTTTGCTTAGCTGGGTGTCAGGAGTTGTATCTCCGGATTTGTTTACTTCTGTAGATTTTATAGATATTTTTGGGGCTTAGGTTTCGGTTTTGTTCTGATTTTTCCGATATAATCATTAGTATCATCTTGATACTCTTTCAGTAATAAAACTTTTATTTATGAAAAAAAAGAAAAGAAAAGTTTTTAACGAACTTTAAAATATGATCAAAATAGAATCTGACCAGCTCAATCATTTCATGAGTGATCTTAATTAAACCTCCACCATGCTGATAACCAAGCTTAAACAGCTTGCTTTACCTTATAGTATACCTAATCCTCTCACTCACTGTTCTCTATCACATCTCCTAAACCGACAGCCGAGTTTGTCTCAGCACATCTAGCAGGCATGGAGCTTAATGAAGAAGAAATCAGTGCTAACTAGGCAAAGTTGTCTAAATATTTTCTTAATATTCGTAAGCTCCATTTGTTCTATATATATATATGTATATATTACGTAAATGAGGGATCAAACCAAAGAAAGTATGCATAATTATATCTCCGAGAGGCATAAAGTAAATTATTTCAATTTCCTATAAAAACATATAAAATGCAAAAATTTGTAATAGGCAGATATATAGATTTCAATAATCCATGACAGAAATTAATTAGAAACCCAACATCCAAAACAAAGCCACTATTTAGCACCTTGTACAGAAAGAACCGGACAGGAGTTTCTTTTTAACTGGGAAGAAGTATTAATTAAGGCAATCAAAAAAAGGGGCAGTCCTTCCACATTGCTGCTTTGCTCAATGAAGGAATAAACTGGCGAAGGGCACCAAAAGAGTTAAGTTTACGAAAGGAGTCACTAAGGCTGACTGCTACCAGAACCAATGATTGGAACATGAGATTTAGTCAGTAGATCTGTAATTTCAGCAAGTGCAATTTCAATTCTGTCGAACATAGTAGTTACAATGTACTCTTTGCCTAGCACGAATAATGCAACTTTTAACTCAAAAATTACAGGGTCTTTTATATTGCAGGAAATAGATTGAAGAAGCAGCAAAACATATACGTCTATAAGGAACACTTGCAGAAGCATTACAAAGAAGCCAGCTAATTCGAGCAGATCAAGGAACCGTACGGCTTTTCATCAAATCCGGCAGACGAAACCCCATTATAGTGTGTCGAGCTCCCATTATCCTGAAATCAAACAGTATGACATATATCAATTTTCCATTCCAAGTATTAAAAAAATACAAGTTACCAGCAGCAGTAGGCTAATCAACTGTACAGTACCTGACTCCGATACTGTTCATATATGGCCAATTCAGGTTTGTTCTTCACATTAACACTTCCATTAGATGCTACAGTGGAAGAATTCCCATTATATACCACTCGAGCAGTTTCACCATTCGCGGCTGCATCTGTTTCCTCAGGTGCTTTCTTTCTCCCAAACTTAACATCATAAAACATCTTAAAATCCTAAATATAGACAAACTCTACATGAATGCATAATACCAATTCAATCCTTCCATCAAAATTCACAATAATAAAATCGCAACAAGCACGAATTAGTTTCTCACTCGGATTCTAAGGCTTGGTTTGGCAATATACTACAATAAAAAAAAAGTCAAAAAATACTGAAAAAATATATAAAAAAAAGTCAAATATTTTCTTTTCCATATTTTTTTTTCCCATTTTTTCATATCAAAAAATCCTCCCAAACTTACTAATTTTTTTCCCTCATATTTTAGCCAAACAGTTACGAAAATAGCCTATTCCCAAACCAACTCTAGCAAGGTGGCAAACAAAACAAAAGGAAAACAGAACAAACAGAAATTCGAACACTAACGTACTTCCGTTTTCTGAAAAATGGAGAACTTGCACAACAAGGATTAAATCTAGGATTCCAAATGTTTGAATTTCTTATGCCACATTTCCTAATCAACCAAACAAAAAAATGAAAACTAGAGAGAGATGATCGAAAGTGGAAGAGTAAAGTTATCGAGTGCCAACTAGAGAAAAGTTTGAAATTCAAAATTCAGATAACAATTTTCTCAGCAACCAAACAGGTGAATGAAACAAAGAAGGCCTAGAATTGGTACCTGGAAGGACCAGCGAGTGAGTGAAGGTTCGTCCGCCATTTCTGAAGCAAGTTTGGAGAAAAAAGAGAGATCTAGATATTTCTCTCTACCTCCTCTTTCTCTCTCTACAATCTATATATTTATATGTATATATATGTCTCTCTCTCACATATCTAAAGCTGTAATCTGGTGTTCGATCGTGGCGGTTCCGATTGCTCTGTATCGCAGAGCGAGACAGAGCACCTGAATGTGTGCACACTAGAATATGGCAAATGATTGATTCCAAAATTTTGCTGAGCTGTCGTGCAAACCAAGTCGACGGAGAAGAACATATCAGAAATAAATGTGGTTAGCGTTTTGGTTTGTTTTTGAGTCTTTTTGTAATATTTTCATTTTCATTTTATATTTATAAAAATTTTATAAATTGTTTTTTATTTATTTTTAAAAAATATAAATTGCAAATACATTTGTTAATTGATAAAATGTTTAAAAATATAAAAAAGAGTGAGAAACGGTAAGTGGTGGAGGAAGAGAGTAGTAGAAAGTGTTACCTTCATTTGTGCTCTATCTTGTCTTCCACCATATCTTCCACCATATCTTCCACCATTTCTCCACTTGCTTAGCCTATAAGTATACATCTGATTGTTGAGAGGAGAGGGAGGATAGATTAAGGAGAGAACATTTGAGCTAGAGAAAAGAGGAAGAAAAGAGAGAAAAAGTTGAATTTTTGAGCTAAACACACTCCTATATTCCATATACACCCTATATCTTCCATACAAACTGAAATTCCATCTTTTCTACATCAAAAACCCCTCCAAAAATTCTGAAAGACTTGAATTTCAGTAGCTTTGATCAAGAGCAAGAGTGGGCGTTGGTAAAAGTGAGCAAATACCGAAAAACGTAACATTTAACGAAATGCGAGCCTTGGAATATCGTAGGAACTTTATTTCAAAAATATTTTGAAAGAGAGGGTTTTAAGGTCTAAAAACCATCCAAAATAGCTTTGGTCCAAGATGGGGTGTGAGGTTGGGATTTGACTCTCCTCTTGCCGAAGAAATCGAGCCTTTGCACTGCACAATTTTCACCACCAAGGAAGCCATCAGTAGCGCCCAAGTCTTAAGGGCGGTCAAAAATGGGGTGTCTACAGACTTCAATTCGGACTTCTACAGGGGTAACTCCGTATTCAGGTGGGTGGTGGTTGTAGGTGGCAGGTGGTGGTAGGGGTAGGTGGTGGGTGGTGGTGCCGGAAAACGGTGGTGGAAAATGGTAGCTGGTGGGAGCTAGTGTTGGGTGATAAAAAAAAAAAAAACTCAAAACTAAAAACGGAAACACATTTTTTGAGTTTACATTTTTTGGTCAAATTTATAAACTGAGACCACTGATTTATCAATAAAAAATTTACCAAATAAGTTTTTATTTGAGTTTTTTAAATTTTTGTAAATATAAACAGAAAATTGAAAACGTAAGTGTTACCAAACGGCACCTTAGTTATTTTTGTTTGGGGTTAAAAAGTTTTATTTGGGATGTGTTTTTTATTTTTTTAATTTTTATAAGAAAAAAAATGCAATTATTATGAATTGAATGTGATATTTTACCTTATTGGACTAAAAAATCTATTTATATTTTTTGTCGCTAAAATAGCGAAAAAGTCCTAGACTTTTTCTTTCCAAACGAGCTCAAAATATGGCAAAATGCTAGACAATTCAAATATTTTATCAATATTTTTATCAAATATTTTATATGAGTAAATCTCATGTGAGTCTCGTATCCATATAAAATATATAATAAAAATATTAATAAACATTTAAAATCCCTAACATTAATAAAACATTTGGAATATGAGATATTTAGTAAAGATATTAATAAAACATTTAGAATTCTTAACATTACACTAAAATATGTTACATACAAGTGACTCACGCCAATTAGATCTCGTTTCTATGTGGAATTATGATAGGTCAAATTAATGTGTGAGATTTTTTTGTCCAATCATATATCGTAGAACGATCGATTGTGCAAATATATTGGTGATGTTGGAACATTTTCAAAGCTTTTTTTTCCCTTCTCAAATTTCAGTAAAGATTTGGATAAAAGTTGCCTATGATATCAAATTTTTCTGACTTTAAATTTTCAATTTTTATTAAACAATCGGATGACTGAGAAGATGTTCAAATAGCCGTCCGGCTTAGTGTAAATTTTCTTCAAATTTTTCCCAATCTGGTTGTCCATCCAGTTGTTTGCCCAATCGTTCACCCAATTGACCGACCGATCATCTATCTGACCATCCACTAACAGCCACCTGAAAGATTTGATGAAAGATTAAACGCTTCATTGATTTAATAAAAAAAAGTAAGACTCTCTTCATTTAATATCAATTTGGTGAAACGTTGAAACACTGTTTTCACTAAATTTTCATCAAATTTAAATTTGATGAAAGATTTAAATCTGGGTTACAGATAATCTTAGTATGAGTAATCAAATTTTGTAAGACATGAAAACGGAAAAGTAAAAATACAATTTAAAAACAAAAAGAAAATTCTAAATGTACAAAAAAATCATATAAAAAAAGGTGCTTAGCTCAAAAGTCCAATTTTAAACTTTTATTACTCAAAGATCCACACTTAGAATTACTTTGTGCGTGAGGACATGCTTTTTCCCAATGACCAAACTACCCTCCACATTTATACTTTGTTTATAGATCTAACTCTCTCTTAGGGGTTGTTTGGGTTGTCCGAGTGCACTTTTTGTCTTTTTGGACTAAAAAGTTGAGGGAAAAAATATGGATGTTTGGGTTAACTTTTTTACTTTTTATGAAAAAATATGTATTAAAAAAATTGTATAAATTAATGTGTAGGGGTGTAGGAAAAAATTAGGATTGAAAGTTGTGCAGCTGTAATTTTTTACTTTTGATGAATAGTAATAACTTTTTAACTTTTTAAGTAACTTTTTGACTTTTTAACTTTTTTTACACATCCCAATCTTGGCCTTACTCTATCTGTCTCTCCCCCTCTCCGCAACGCTTTTCCACTCTCTCCACCGTTCCACCACCGCCTCTGCTACTCAACCACCACCACATTTTCTCTTTCTAGATCCGATCACTCGGCTTCTCTCTCTTCGCTCCAGATCTACTACTGATCCACAGCCACTCTTACTTCATCGGTGAGCGCGAGCTCCGCCGTCCAGATCCACTCCCGTAGTGGTGTCGTCGCCGATCTCATATCTCAGATCTGCAAATTCTATTTCAAACCTAAATCTAAACCCTAGCCCACAGTTGTTGCACTTCACTTAACCCAAGCTATATTTTCTTCTCCTCCATTCCTCATCTTCGCCATGAAAAGTTATGTTTTTCAAACATTTCGACTTCTCTAATCGATTTCTTCGAGATCATATCCAAGGACTGCACCATTGACAAGAAGGTTTCTCTCATACATCAGAGTTTCAACCTTTACATTCAATTTCAACCATTTTGGTTATAGGACACACACACACACACACACATATATATATATTTGCATTGTTAATGGTTTTCAAATTTGATTTGCCAGAAGCTTAGACAAGGTAATGATGTAGTGGCGGAGGTTTACAAACCCCTTAACGCGATTCAATGAGTTTGAAACTCATCATACTCTGCATTTTTTTGTTGTGTGTGTTTACTACATCAATTGAAGTTAGTATTGATAATTCAGTTTCTTCTTTGATTTTTTCGAAGGTCTGGCAGATCACTAGACAAGTCGATTTCAACGCTTTAGATGAAGCTGACTGCTATTCGAAGTTATCAGGAGATGAAGAGATCTGATGAGTTCACTTACATCTTTAAATTGACTCATTAGGGCTTGCCAAGAAAGAAGGCTTTCATAGTTATTGGAATTAATACTGCTTTTAGTAATAGGAAGATACGTGATTTTATTAGACAAACTTAGATGCCTCAAGGTGATAATTTGATATTGTCTCCATGGAAATTTGATATAGTTATTGGTTTCTATGTGGAAATTTTGTACATCATTGTGATTTTGATTTTATTTTGGTGAATGTAGATTGATTTATGCGATTCTACGACTTTTCATTTCTTTAGATTTTGCAATTTTTCTAGATCTACTCTTTTTATTTTGTTGCTATGTCGAATGTAATTTTGTGTGTGATTCGATGTGTACCAGAGGGGTATACCGTATAGATTTGGTTTAATACTACCTCAGATCTGCCGCCTTTGCCTCATCTTATCTCTCCGGCGACAAAGATGTCGCTAAAATATGCTAAATTAGCTTCTTCTTCTTGTTGTTGATAATGATGATGATGATGATGATGATGATGATGATGATGAAAAAATAGATAATTTTTTTGTTTTCTTTTGTTTTGTTTTTGTGTTGAACAGGTAAGGGAGAGAGAGAGAGATTCGATCAGATAGAATTTTTTTTTGGATTGCAATAGATAAGTGTTGGTGTATGTATATCTGTGAGTGTGTGTATATATGAGACGGGTTTGGAAAAAAAAATGATGTTTATGATAATGATTGCAACAGATAAACAAAAAAGTTAATACATATTTTCAACATATAAAAGAAAAAAAATTAAACAGATAGATGTGAATTTAGGGAAAAATTCGAACACATAAATAGAATTTAGGGAAAAAATTGACTAGATGTTGACCCCATTTTTAACAGCCCTTAAGACTTGGACGCATCTGATTGATTACCCAATGATGAATTTATAAGTTGTACAAATGCTCGATTTCCTCAGTAGGAAGCCCCGATTTTGAGTCTTAGAAGTCTAAAAACCTTGCACCACTTTTGGACCAAAATAGTATTTTTCCAAGCCTAATCACTCAGAGGTCTACAAGCCAACCAGTGGCCGGCTAGCCAGAAATTAGTGGCTAGCTGTCCCTCTAGTGTCCAGCTGGCAGACCGGTTGTTTCGGTAGAATAGATATTTTGCTGCCAGCTATGCTAATGGTCCCCACAGGTGCATGCATTGCACTAGCTATCTCTATATTGATATTTCCAAGATAGTAACATATTTATCTATATATACTTGACCAACCCCTCTTGAAATGAGATTAGAAAAATTTTGTAAAGCAAAATTCCTGAAAAATATTTCTCTCTCCATCTACCTTGCAACCTATATACACCTTAACTAGACTTCCTAAACCAAATTTTTAGGGCTTTTTGCTGAGGTTATTGAGCTTGAATTTCAGCTCTTGAGGGTGAGAATTTGTTGGTTTGAAACTCAAAGTGTTACTTATCTTCAAGAGGTATAACTCCTAGCACTTTTACACCATTTCTTTCCTATCTTTATTTGCAATTTTTGGACTGCTTTTCAACTGTTTTTAAAGGCTGAAACATGTGGCTTAAAGCTATTAAAAGTAAAGGGG